CTATTATATCATAACATGTAATTTTTAAGTCACTTGAACAGTGTATATTTCTTACATAAAAAATTGGGTTTGCTCTTGCTAGAGATAATTTATGAATTATGAATAATATATATACATATATACATACATATATATATATATATTATAAAATTACCACGAACCACGAATTTACTTGTAACTAACACTAGTTGTTAATCCTAACTGTTACTTATAAAATAAGGTTACGTGCTATTACATTAACATAATATGCAGTGTCACAATCATAATGTACCAAAGATACATTACAAAGTAATTCAACTGAGAACAAATAATACTTACCTGCTCTGTCTTAAGCGGCTAAATCGAACGTCTTCTTAATATTTATTCAAATGAGTTATTTACCTAGTTATTTATTTATTTATTTACGCTTTCATTCATGTATGTATGTATAAAATTCTTCATTGTATTAACATTACTATTAATAATTTAAACAACTTTCGATGTTACATGTTGCGTTCATTATTTTATTATTATCGTAATGTAATCTTTTATAATCGTAGACTATAAGAAGTAACTAGGAAGATAAGTAAATCGGTACAGACGGGTCTTTTTCGGTAGAATCATCTGTAGTTGGAGAAAAATTTGATCTATTTGTTATGCGCAACAAGTAGAGATGGATAGTCTTATTGTGCAGAACATCCGATCTTTTTTGAATTCATAGCAAAGAATTTAGAAATTATATTTTCTAAATACTGTACGAATTGTTCGAAAATTCGTCTTATGTCGATCTTCTTACCGAGTTACCTTTCTATATACGCTTGGAAGATGTGTATGTGTAGTCGGATGTATCGCATGTATATGGATATGTGTATATAAGATCTCTATGATTGTATTTATGTATACACGTACACTAATAAATAACAGTGAGCAACAAATAACAATGTCGACGATGGAAGGTTCACTTAGTAAATGGACAAATGTTGTTAATGGTTGGCAATATCGTTGGTTCGTTTTAGACGATAATGCTGGCCTTTTATCGTATTACACGGTAGGAATTTGTAAATATTGTAATTGTTGTATTTAACATTCATTTGTTCATTAATAGGTTACACCCTACTTTTTCTTATAATTTGTATTTTATGTAAATTTCCTTTATGTTTAATATTATGTTTATGTTCCATAAATTTCCTTTATGTGACATTTAATTCAAAATTAATATAAATTTCTATGTGTATCAGTAATTTTTTATTTTATTTACTAAATATCTGTTAAGTATTATTATCTGTTATCTGTTATTTCTATTTGTTTAAATATCTTGCACATCTGTCATAGTCAGCTGATCTTTAAACATCTAGTTTTAAACAAAATATTAATTTATTTCACCTGGTGAAAAGAATTATTATCAATATATTATCAAGAATTTTGTCAATTAATATGTAGATATTTAGATTGTATTATTGATTATATATTACTGATATTTAAAATACTATTAATATATTTTGAATATAATAATTTTTTTACCATACTTTGATTACATTGCAGAGTAAAGAAAAAATGATGAGAGGAGCACGTAGAGGGTGTGTACGTTTAAGAGGTGCTATTATAGGTATCGATGATGAAGACGATAGCACATTTACAATTACTACATCATCATACAAAGATGATCCAAAAACATTTCATTTTCAAACAAGAAATGCAGAGGAACGAGAACGGTGGATTCGTGCTTTAGAAGACACTATACTACGTCATTCACATACTGTATGATCATATTAAAAACAAAAATTAAATTTATTTTAATGCTTAAATAAAATTTGAACTACTTTAGAAATGGGATCCTAAAAAATCTCCTCCGAGGCAAGATTTTGATCGTAAAGTGGCCGAAGCAGATGCTTACCTTCAATTATTGATTGATCAAATAAAATTAATTGAAACAAAACAAAGTTCTGTTGCTGTAGAAGATGAAGAGAAACAACAAAAATATGCAGCTATTTTAACTCAAGCCAATGCAATGCTTAATTCCGTTAAACATACAATTGTTCAGTTACAAATTGCAAAGGTAAATATTCAATATAATTGTAAGACATACATTATATTAATAAATTCCATTATATTAATAATTAAATTAAATACATTTTATAGAATTAGTTGTAGTATGTGCATGCTAAATATAATAACTTTTAGAATACAGCAATACCAGTAAATGGAATATATAGTGGACCCACTGATTCAACACACGTTCCATCTCCTTTACCTCATGGTATGTATTTAAATGTGAATATAAAATGTATAATGGAAAACGTATAATATAATAAATTTTAGTTGCTGCTAGAGAACCAGAAGCAACTGTACAGACTGGTATTGAATTAGGTTTTGAATGTGTAGAACTAAGAGTACCTGCATTGCCAAATGGTAATTTATTTTTTCTTATTTATGTATATTAAATTTAAAATAAATGTCAAATTATTGAATTATATTTTTAAAAATAAAATTACAAGTCAAATAGAAAAATGAATTAAGATATTCATTTTCATTAATTTTCACTTGTAAAGCGGTTGTGGATAGAGATCTCCCTGTACCTCAATTTTCTTATTCATCTTCGGATGAAGACGAAGATTATTATGACGCAGCAGATGAAATATCGCCTCCCTCTGCAATGCAAAATCATATCAATATGTAAGTATTTATTAGGGTTTATTGATCTTTAATATAAAATTTAAGAAATATGTGATATATTTTGTAATTCAGTAGAAGACAAGATAGCGAACGTTCACAATCACATGTAGATGTATTGAACGAAAATCGGAAACAACCTCCGTTGCCACCTACGAAAGGTGATGGCTCTGTTGATTATGATGGTAAGTATTAATTTATAAGTGTAATAATCTATATGTTTCATATTGTTTAGTGTGTATAAAATCAAGTTTTTGTACCCTTTTCTTTTCTCAAAATATGGTAATTGTATTTTATTTATTTTCAGTTTTGTATTATACATATTTTTGTATATAATGCAATATTTAAGTATGTATATGTTTTAAATTATGAATTAAATTCAAATAAAAAATCAATACATAAATATTTAATCAAATTAAAAGTAAAAATATATTAAAATGTTATGATCATTATTAATTATTTACAACAAACATATTTATATTATATATTTATAAATTAACAAATATAATAAATATTATATATTTATAAAAATTAACAAATAAAATACAGTAAAAAAATTAAACAAAAAAAAAGAATTATAAAAATCCATAATAAAATTGCAGTCGTTATCATCGATAATACAGGTTCTATGTCAGACGACATTATCCGCAACTACAATTACTATACACGTGAATTGTCGTGTCAGTCGAACCTAGCAAAGCTATATTAAATTTGTAGTTAAAATCAAGTGTGAATATTCTTTAGTATGACACAATCGCAGAAAAAAGAATTTAATCAATTTCAACTAGTTTTTGCCTCTTGGAAAACTTTATTTCTAAGAAAAAGACGATTGTACTGCGTATAGTTGACATCGTACAATGATCGTATTTAGGAATGGAATTTAGTTGATATTTTACAAAAACGCAATATGTTGAGTGCAGATTCAAGCAGTAAGTTTTTAAATTACATTAAAATATATATATATATATAACAAAAAAAATTCTTTTGTATTTATGTGAATGTTCATGTTATTATAGGTTGTATTTTTTATATATAAAATTTTTAATTGACAAACATATCACAACTATTATTAATTTAAGAAAAATATCAAAACGAGTTACAATAGAAATTACTTTTTTCTTATTTTTTAAGTTACTACGTCTCGTATTGTTTATAAATTATTGTTGTAAAATTTTGTTACATGTTACAGCCCTTTATGACGAGGAAAGTGAAACAGAAAGTTAGTAACCATTATATTAATAACGTAATTATTTCAATAAGAGTAAATTCTTACCTTTATGTTATTTTTTAGTGGATTCCATGGAATCTCATGGATCCGTAGTGACTCATCTTTTATCTCAAGTAAAAATTGGTATGGATTTGACAAAAGTAGCATTACCTACATTTATTTTGGAGCGCAGATCGCTTCTTGAAATGTATGCAGATTATTTTACTCATCCAGATCAGTTTGTAAGGTATATTCTATGCAATAAATAATGCTAACAATATTCCAAAGTTTTTTAAACTCTTAATACATTATATTATTGGATATTTCAGCATAGCAGATATGCCTACTGCTAAAGATAGAATGATTCAAGTAGTTCGTTGGTATTTATGCAGTTTTCACGCAGGTCGTAAATCAGGGGTAGCTAAAAAACCATATAATCCAATATTAGGTGAAATTTTTAGATGTCATTGGGATATTCCTAATGACACTGTAGATAGTTCTACCGATACAAAACTAGTTATTGGAGGTCCTGTACCTTGGTGCAAAGAAAATCAGCTTTCATTTATTGCTGAACAAGTTTCTCATCACCCTCCTAGTAAGTTTGCTAATATTTGTTATAATTCTTTAAAAAATATTCTCCTGGATAAACTAATATGTTTTATATTGCAGTAAGTGCGTTTTATGCTGAACATTATGCGAAAAAGATCAGTTTTGGAGCACACGTATGGACAAAAAGTAAATTTCTTGGACTGAGTATAGGAGTACATAATGTTGGGAAGGGTTGGGTAAATGTATTACAACATGGAGAGGAATACGTATTGACTTTCCCAAATGGTTATGGTAGATCTATTCTGACTGTACCGTGGATAGAATTAGGAGGGACTGCAACTATCCATTGCGCACAAACTGGTTATCATGCTACTGTAGAATTTTTAACAAAACCTTTTTATGGTGGCAAGCGTAATCGAATTACATGTCAAATTACACAACTGGGAGATAAAAAACCATTTGTCGTTATAAACGGAGAATGGAATGGTGCTATGGAAGCAAAATGGGCTGATGGAGTATGTATAAGAGATACTGTGAAAGATATCAATCTTTCATTTTAGCTTTTTCAGTCATAAATTCAATTTTTGCAGAGAAGTGAAATATTTGCGGATGTAAAAGAACTTCATACTCAAAGAAAATTAATAAAGCCAGTATGTGAACAAGAAGAACATGAATCGCGGAAGGTTTGGCGGGATGTAACTGTTGGATTAAGAATTAATGACATGGAAAAAGCAACAGCTGCTAAATGTGCAATTGAACAAAAACAACGAGATGAAGCTCGTACTAGGAAAGAAAATAACGTTAATTGGCAAACTAAGGTACATTCTTTTCTCAGTGTTATATATTTTTTATTTCAAATGATTATATAACTCCTTATTTTTTAATAGTTGTTCAAAGAAACTAAAGACGGTGGTTGGATATATATAAAACCTCTTGCTGAGAGATTACATTCTTGTTTCAACCAAAGTACTACAACATAAACTCGCAATATGATATGTTGCAGTTTTAGACATTGCACAGCACTAGTAATTTAAGGCCTAACATATATGATTAATTATATATCTTTTTAAATTATATACCTTTTTAAAGTTAATGACTCTGTGCTATTCAAAAGAACAAAACTAAAAGATATTAATCAATTCCCTAAAATTTTTTTCTTATATAGACCTGATTAAGTACAATAGCAAATATTTAAATGCTATAATATTAAGATTTCATTAAAAGATATATATGTATTTTGATAGCAGACAAATTATTTTTTATAATATATTACCACAGACAGTTATTGCATTAAAAGAAACAAATTCGCATAATGTTGTGCTATATAACGTCACCATTGACATACAAGCTTATGTACTGTTAAAAAAATATACATAGCTATGAAGATAATATTCCTGATAATTTATGATTTCTATTAACAAGAATTGTAATATAATTTTAACATAATACAATATAAATAAAAATTAAATTTAATTAGGTAGTAATAGACCAAATGCATAGCTTCTATTACTATCAAGTAATAATAGATTAAAAGCATGATTCTCTAATGTGTTCCCACGATATAACATTAACGAATCATTGATAATATTGATTAATTGAATTTTTTTCAATAATAATCGTAATAATTATGTATATGATTTGGCTTTTGATATTTTTAAATTACTTCCAGATAATGTCCAAAATGATTTAGTTAATACATTTAACAAAATGGACAACTGTACTTGTAATTGTAAAAATAATATATACGATGTACATCACATTTATATACATAATTGGTTGTTCTTAACTTCCATGAAATGTAAACAAGTAGCATTTAAATAATGTAAATACTTATAAATATTGTTCGTAGTTCTTTACGCATAAAATTCTGCACATATTTTAATTGCTTTTTAATTAACTACAAAGTATTAAAATATTTTAGTGATATGTTCATTTCATTTAGTTATGTTACACACACATATATAGAGTAAAATTGTGATTTACAATCCTTTAAATTTTACTAGCCATAAATAGCACATTGTAAAATATTCCTATCCAATATGTAATATATAAATAAATATATATAAATTTTTGATAAAATGAACATTTATTTATTTATCGAAATAATACACAGTATAAATTCCAATTAAAATTTGCACTTAAAAATGAATTAAAAATATACAAGAATTGGCTATGTAAAAATTACAATTTTCAACATTCTAAAAATATAAAAATATGATCAAGTATTATTTATAAAATTGTCTAAACATATATATCCGACATAATAATCAATTGCAGTTCTATAAACTTGTGGAAATCGTTTTGTTGATGTTAATAGATGTTCTAAACCTGCTTTTATTACTAAAAAACTTACTTCACAATATGTTTTATTTACAGAATCAGGAGTATTTTTATTTGTTTCATATTTGTATAATACTTTGACGACTGATACTTTTTGTAAAGTTACAATATTATTACACAAAATATCCTTAGGCTCAACCATTAAATTTAAATGCCAATCCATTGGTTTTATAGTGAGAGAATGAGTTTCCTTTCCCACAAAGTATTGCAAAATTATCTCTTCACCAAATATACCAGTCATTGAAGTTTTAATAGCAAGTAAAAAATCATTAAAAGGATCTGTTGCATTTTTTATTGTTGAGTTGCTTAATGAATTGTAGTCCATACTACAACTCCATAATTTAAATGAATTATTTGTATGAATTTTTCCTAAATAATGTAAACACCTACTACAAATTATGACATTTTCATCTACTTTTAAATTATGATTAAATAAACTTGCATGAATGATAAAGAAAAATGACCCATAAAAAATATCAGATTCTAATGGAATTAAATTATACATATTAGTATCACTGTGATTGTGTTTACAACAAAACCATTCACTTGGATCATAATTGATATCTGGTACAGGTAAAATCCTTTTAATATACATGTCCTTAGAAAGAATATTTTTACAAAAAGTACATATTATATGACATTTACCTGTATTAAATAATTCAATATTTTTAATGGAATCTTTTAATGAATCAGTATTGAATGTTAAATTTGTAATTACTTGTGTTTTGAAAGAGCCAAGGAGAGGATCAGACATTGTTTGTGCACGAAAACAAATCCAGTTTTTTGTAACATCTAATGCTGATAATGAATCTGGTATTAATTTTATAAATTTCATTAAAAATATTACTATCTTGTTTTCTATGCTTATTTCTATATTTTCCTTCAATACCTTTACTTTAACTCCCGTTGAATTTACTTCTTTCTTTAAATGAATGAAAGCATTGCATATTTGAAGCCTAGGTCTTAGTTCTAATGTCATGGATTCTATCATATTGAAAAAAAATATTAACTTGAAAAATTAAATTGCAGATTTTCAATTAAGTAGAAATAATTTCTTCACATTGCTTCGAATTTAATGCAATGTATGTATATATGTGACTTCATGTATACACTTCTTTTCAATATTATAGGCAAATATATTTTGTCAAACCTGGAAATAAATTTTGCATTTGGTCTGTATTTTACAATTTATGTAAGTTGACATGTAACAAAATTCTAATAGATTTACCTTTAAAGTTTTCTCAATCCAGTATCTTAATATATACTAAATCCTTTTTTTAATTTAGTATCTTATTAACACCTAAAAAAAATACATTTTCATAAATCATTATTAATAAAGCATAAAATTAAATGAATGTAAGAAATATTAAAATTTATAATTACAAAATAAATAGAATTTACCGAAAAAAATAAGTAAAATTATAATTCATAATGTAATAAACTTTTTTTCGTACAGTACAGCACGTGTTGTTTGACAACTTCGTGCTGTTTTTGTATTGCGTTGTCGCTTATTGAAAATTGGGTCTTATATGAAAAAATAGTATTACCTGCCGGGAAAAATAGTAACTATAAAATAACCTAACGTAATTTGTAACTTGACGAATTTAAATTAATAAACAAATTAAATAATACTAACAAATTAAAATAGTAAAATATGATGGTCTCAAGATTATGGTGTCAAAAAACATGGCAAAATTTAGCTCTTGTAAAAGTATTGGGTATGTTCATTTTTGAATCATACTTTATGAAAAATTTTATTCTTAATCATGTACTATGTTAATGAGCGACTGCTAATAATAAATTTCAAATTAAATAATTTATATTTTAGTAAGTATATATATATATGTAAATATTATTTTATATTATCACTTCTAGGTAAAGAACCCAAAACTTTTTCAACTTTGGTTCAACCAAAAGTAGATGAAGCAGACGATAATGATTCTCAAGCACAAACTGATGATGAATTACTCAAATCTCCATCACTAGCAAATTACAGACTTGTATACCCTGAATTTCTACCAGACCCTAATCCGTTATATCGTAATAGCATAAGAGAAAGATTAGAACGTATGGATATGTTGAATAGAAGATCAATATTATCTATTCCTGAATTTTATGTGGGTTCCATATTAGCAGTAACTTATTCTGACCCACATGCAGTTGGAAAAATAAATAAATTTGTTGGTATATGTATCTTAAGAGAAAGCTCTGGATTAAGAAGTTCATTTCTTTTAAGAAATGTAGTCAATGGGGAAGGTGTAGAAGTACGTTATGATTTATATGATCCTGCTATCCAAAAAATTGATTGTTTAAGGTAAGCATTAATTAATTAAATGTAATTGGAATTTAAAATGAAAACTTTCCTTTATTTATAGATTAGAAAAAAGATTAGACGATGAATTACTTTACCTGAGAGACGCACCATTGGAATATAGTACATTTCCTTTTGACATGGAAATAGAAGCAAAAATTTCAGAATCTGTTCCAGTAAATGATATTAAAATTCCTCTCAATCCATTACCCTGGTCACAAAAATGGGAGCGTCATAATTTAAAAGGAGTTAAAGACATAGTTGTTAATGAAAGACGTCAAAAGAAGGCAGCAGCTTTTGCTAAATCATGGGAGAAATATGATCTAATGAAAACATATAGGTAAAATTGAATATAAAATTGTCACTAAAATAATGTGTACCATTTAAAAAAAAATGTACTGTATAAAATATATTTTATGTTTCAATAGGGAGACCATTCCGGAAGAGGAACAAAATGAAATATTTTCAGATGTATATATAAAACTTAACGAGTTGGAAATACAGAAGAATATATTAAAACGCAAATATATGTTGCAAAGACAAAAATCTTCAAAAACGAGAACTTTATAAATACTTTGTAATGTTAATAATAAAAATTTGTTTCCTAATTACGTGTCATCTGTATATTAAAAAGAGATAGTGATATACATGTTTTTCTTACATAATTCCTAATTATTTGTAAAAATATATACATATATAATTTATAAATATATATTTGTTGTAATAGCAATTTCGTTTGGATATGTTTTATGCTGAGATTTCTAAAAGATTTCATTAATAATACATTTTGTTTTATTTGGAAGTGAAAAATATACAATAGAAATTATAAAATTTCAATGACACTAAAAATTACACATCATTTCTTGAACATTCTTATCTGATGTATGTAAGGGAACAATTATTTTTTGCATATCATGATATTCGAATTAACTGGGAAAAGATAAATATGCAAATATGAAATTAGCTAGTTAATAATGCCACATTAATTTCTTTAACCATTTTAATGCGATATAACATTTTTATGAGATGTTCCTTAGCCAACGGAGATGTTGAATACCACACTGGGCTGTCCGGTACGCAACTTCTTTCTGGCAATAAATAGAACACATCGTTCCGAGTTTTAACGCTCTCTGGACTAAAGTAGTAATGCAGAATTAATATAATTATTATATTTTTTTATTTAAAATTTTTATCTATTAGACAGGAAAAGTAAGTAAATGAACGTACCATTTAGACAAGTAAAATTCATATAATTTGACTGGACACCTTAATGGATTTTCTTCATTTTCCTGTTGTTCATATACCTTTTTTTTACGTGAATTGCCTTCTGGAAGAAATTAAAACTTTATAATTTTGTTATTTCTTAAATATATAAATTATTTGATACTCACCCAATGCTGATTGTGGCGGATAAAAACGAAGAAGGACGTTCCTAGAACCTGGAATTTTTCCTGCTCCTGCAGCAGGTTGGGTAGCTGGATTACGTTTCCAATGTTTCATGATGTGTGAAAATGATAATTGCATATGCTCTTCTACTGTCTAAACGATATTAAATTTTAAATATTTTAAAATAAATGATAATATTTATATAGTAATTTAAAATGATTTATACATACTACAAGATTAAAATGTTTAGTATTAAAGAACATTAAAGTACTTAAAAGTACATGAGGAGAATGAGCACCTAATTGCTTACATTCCCATAAATGTTCTTCTTCAACCCTCGTTACAATGTATTCTACAAAAATTTCAATTACAATAATTTCTATTATAATACAATTTTCTGTATCGACTTTAAAAACAAACACTAACTTACGTGTATCATTATAAAGAACGGAAAATTTTTTTGCAACTTCATTTAAACAATCTGTAAATCTTTCATAATATGTGTCTGTGAAAATATTGTCTATTCTGTTATTTTCAAACAAATATTGTTGAATTCCTGTAACATAAATTAATCGAAGATAATTAAAAGCTTGTTTTAAATAATGAAGATGATGGAGTTAAATACCTAAGCAGAGATAATATATCGTGTCAGGAGCATATTCTGTTCCATTTGGCTTTCGAACCTCTTTCACAAAAAGGCATAATGAATAATTCAATTCATCGGCTGTGAGTTGTAAAAGATCTGTCTTAAATAATTTCATTTTTCTCATAGGTGTACTTTGTTTTTCTAATTCAGCATTTTTTGCAATTACCTATATTTTTAAATAATTTCCGATTTTTAACATCTACTTTTAACTGAAATTAAAAGCGAAAGTATAAGATATTTCAATTACCCATTGTCTCCACGCATTTACTCCAAAAGTATATTTGAGTGCCATATTGGCATCTGGTTTTTCTATAGGTTCTATTATTCTAGGTTGAGGCGGAGGTTGAGGTTCAGGAGGTGGCATCAAAGGCATGTCGTTAGCACCAGACACGCGCCTTCCTCGTTTATTTGGTGTAGATCGTGGTTTATATGGAACCATTCGTTTTCTTCCCCGGGAAGGAACAATGAGCCGTTCCGATTGAACTAAATGTCAAACAAACCTTTCATTATCAATTATTTTTTTCATTCTCCCTCATTACTTTCATTACCATCGTTTTCAATCGCTGTATCAGATTGTGCTGGTGCTTGGGTAGCAGTAATAGTATTTGGAGTTAAAGCAGCTTCTAAATCAACAGCTGGTTCATCTAATTCTCCAGTGGCCATTTTCAAAGCCATTTGTAACATATCATCTCCAAATGTATTACTAGAATCGACACCTTCTGGACTGAAACCTCCACTATGCGAATGATCACGATCAGCAGCATCTTCGTCTCTATAAAAACAATAGAAGAGGAAAATAGAAAAAAAAATTTAATAAAAACTATTAATAATATAATTACCTATCATCTGTAGAATCTGAATCAGTCTCGTTGGTTTTTTTTTCTGTTGCAACCATTTCTGCCATCATAAGAAGTTCAGCTTCAAAAGGATCTGCTGGTATTTTTTCTTGTATTCTTTTGATTTCTTTAAATATTCCCTTAGCACTATTTCTTGTTGTTGGTATAAAAATAGGAACAGGAATTGGCAATGGAAAAGGTAATGGAACTGGAAAAGGCATAGTATACATATGTACTGGAAATGGAACATAAATTGGAACAGGAATCGGTACAACTGCTTGCTGAATTCCATCCGTCTGTGTAGCTTTTGTACAAGGATGTGGACGTACTGAAACTCCTTTTGTATGCATCACGGGTTTACATTGAGTTATTTTATTGTGAATTTGAACTGGACTTGGTGGTCTCGTTATAATATGCTGCTTATAAATTACTTGAGGCGTTTGATTTTGGCTAATAGCAACTGAAGGTACTAACATATTATTGTTTTGTTGAGTTGTCGGACTGGATTGACCATTTCCAATCGTGGCTAAACTTGTCACAGAAGAAATTACAGGCATATTTTTTTTATTTTGCATATCATTAGCTTTTTGATTGTTGGAATTTATGCTTCTTTGAGGTAATGTCCTTTTAGGCATACCGGTAGGTACGGGGTCATCACCTGTTGGTATCGTAATCGGAGATTTAGTATACTGAGCTTGAAAATTCATTACACAATGATATGAACAAAAATTTCGTATCGTTGCATCTGACATTGTTAAATGATATTGTGCTTGAGAAAATTCTTTACAGAAGTCACAGTTTATTCGTTTTGCTGAAACTGCATTGATGGAAACCTATATACAATTAAAATTAAAAAAAACCTCAGTCTTAGGCGTAATATTCTTTGAAGTAAAAACTATGTGACCATTTCATACCTGATACAACGTTAAGCAATTTAAACTGCACATCATCATTACTTGACCCGTTTTTAGTTCCTTTTTGATCATGTCGAAATTATATTTTTTTACTTTGCACCAATTGCAAGGAACAATTTTTCTATTGGTAATAATAAATATATTTAAACAAGTTTTAGAACAAAACGTATGAGCTTCATTCTCATAAAACACAACAGAACTTTTTTTGTTAGGTAATTCAAAAAATTTTTTGCAAGTAGAACATTGCTCAGGATCAACTTTTTTTACAAATTTGAATGCTGCAAAACATGGCTCGCTGCATATAGCTATTGGATCAGACCTATCTATTTGAACCTCACAATGAACAATTTTTTCCTGTTATAAATAATATAACTTTAATTTAGAAAGTTTCTACCAAATTTACATTGAAGACACAAATAAAAAAAAATGACTTCTTACTTCTTGACAAACGCTGCAACATTTCTTTTCCATATTCGGAGGTTCGACAGAACTCATTTTTGAATATTTTTCCATACAATCTTGAGTACAAAAATCCTTAAATTGCCCTTTTTCGCCAACTGGCGCAAGAAAACCGTCTGTGCTAGAGCTTATATCTTTTTGACAATAACTGCATACTTTTAGACCTTTTTTAAATTCCTCTAAACATGTGGAACAACAGAATTGTCTAACATCATAACCAAATCGTACACAGTATTTTCCTAAACTTACTGCCTGTACTGAACCATTACAATTTCTGCAGTAACTTCCATACTTTGTTTGGAATTTACCTAGACATTCTTCATTACAGAATTCCATTGTTTCCCAAGAAAGATTACGTTCATCATTATGTTCAACAATTAACAAACAGTTTGCACAACGTTTCTCTCTTTTGGAATTAACTCCATCACTAGGTATATCCATTGCTTTATTATTAGCAACTTTGAATAATGCTTTACAGGTTTTTGAACATACATTGTAAGTATCAAACCCAATTTTTACTTTAATTTTACATGATCTTTCTTCGTTACATTGTTTACAAATTTCTTTGGCCGTGATTTCTTCAATTTCAGAATTTTTTGATTCTTCGTCGATATTAATAACATCTGCTGTGATATCCGTAACTTTATCAAGTGAATCTGTCTCTGTCCTGGTACCTTTTGCATGTGTTACAACAGATTCATTTACAACATTTGATTCCTCTGCATCTTGATGCAAATCCTTGTTTCCATCATTATTTGGTTCATTATTTTCACACGTTTGTTTAATCTCATTTTGTTCGTTATTATCTTCATGCATTGATTCTTCATTATTAGAGTTTGATTTTTCTGTTTGCTCAGGAATTATAACTTTCATACTATCTGGAATAATACATAACTCATCGTCTTGTCCTGGTAAAACATTGGATTGTTCGTCCATTGGTGTTATCTCATCGACAGATTTCTTTGTTTGATTATCAGATTTTTCTGTTGAGTCTCCAATTTCTGTATTTAAATTTTCATTGTGCTTTGGTTGAACTGAATTTTCATTACTCTGTTTATTAGTATCCTGCGAATCTAATATAACATTTGGAGAATGCAGGATATCGATAGAACTGTCTTTATTTCCTTCATTGTTATTTTTCTTATCAATATTAAAACTACTTGGCAAATTATCAGCTTGATTGCATAATTTGGAAAAACCTATATTAGCTTCATTAAGATCATCAGTATCCATAGGTTCAATATTTTCTGTTATAAGACTATCTCCTCCAAAAGGATCTTCAGCATCTATAGACTGATTTTCAATCTGTATATCTCCATGCTTTTCTTGAGAAAATTGTACAAATTCAGTATTTTCTGGTTCTACAATGTTTTTCTCTGTTACATTTTTATCGCCATCTTCTGATATTTCCTTTGAATTAGTCTTATTATCTGAATCATTTTTTTCATTAACTGAAGATATATTTATTTGAGTATCTTCTAAGACATTTTCAACAATTTCCTTTTCTGTTAAGGTCAAATCAGAGGAATTGTTGATATTGGCACGTTCCACATTTTCTATTTCATCTGATATATCTTCTAAACATTTTTGAGATTCTGTACATTCTATATTATCTGATAATTTATCTATATCATTTTTATCAGTAGCATTGGATATCGTTAATTCCACTGAACATTTATCTTGTAAAACATTCTTTGCTGTATTTTCATGTAAATTCAATGAATGTATATCATTACATTGTGTAACCTTAACATTTATATTATTTTCTTGTAAAGATAACTCTTTCATTCTTGTGTCATCTTCTTCAGGAATATTCTCTTCAGACGTAGCACTTAATAAATCTTCGTTACTTTTTGAATTTTCATCAGATACTTTTTTTTCTATTTCATTGTCTGTGTTTACTTTTTCATTACTTTCACTTGCATCAATAATTTTTTCATTTTCTTTTGACAGTAGTAATCCCTGTTCTTCATTTGCAACAATGTTCATTTTTTCAATAGATTCATTTGTGTTTTCAGTTTTATTTTCGTTTTCTGTAGACGAATCCTTTTGACTAGTTGCTATTTCTATATCAATATTGGAATCCATGTTCATTTATATGATCAGCTATATAAAACAATAATTTGTTACTTATAATATCATAAATTGTATAAATTGTATGATGTGATGAAAAGAGAAAATTTATATTTAAATTTGTTGATAACTAAATTCCAAATGATTTAAAATAAAAAAGAAATTTTTAGAGAAAGGGAAAGAAAAAATAACTATAAATAAAAAATTATTATGTATCAGATATCTTATTCATTTAACATAAATACATAAATAATATAAGTTCATTTTCAATTATATAAACAAATATAAATAGAAGAAATGTTACAAACATAAACACAATAAAATACACTCGAAAAAGAACTACTACATAACAAAATGAAACATCTTTTCGAAAACAATTGATGTTACATTTCTTTCTGCAAGTATAATAAACAACTGTACAAAAGATTGAGGTTATCAAAAAAATAGCTCCACTTCGCCATGTTGTATTTTACATTTGCGATCAAAAGCAAATCTGACAGTAGAGGCAAAACATAAATAGAAATAGATAAAAAAGACCGTATTCATATTTTATAAGAATTAATTATAATATTCTTCGGATACAGAAACAAATATTACAGTTTGGTATCTCAAACTGAAATATTATGTGCATATCCAAAATTTTGCATCGACTAAGATCATAACATTCTAGTTGAAAACAACGTATAGCACTTTCGGATTTCTATATATTAAAAAAATAAGCATCACCTTTTTATCTCAATGCACTTTGTCACAATTTTTAGTTAAAAATATAAAACCGTATTCATTGTCGAAACATAACAACTGTGGCGGTAATCCGTGTATACTACCAACATATGATCGTAAGTTTATTCCAACCAAACTAAATAAAGTCTCGTTTTCATAATTACGTTATCGCGTTGTTTTGATTCTGGTTTTACTGAATGTCAATCAAAAATATACTGAAATTAATTTCAGACATTGTATCAGCGTCGTAATTAGTATAATTAACATGTGACGAGCCATTAATATGTTGCACTTAAATTGCAAATTAACGTTTAAAAATTTGTTATAAACCGATCTGAATCATATGTATATTTACTGAAAATATATTTGTTTTTATGGAGATCACAATACATTAGATGATAAAATTGAATTTTGTTAACAAAAAATATTAATAACAATATCAATACGCAGTCTACATTGTACCTAATATGTTTGAAAAAATTCGCTTCAACTGGATAAACTTTAACACATATTTAACGAATAAATGAATTTCTTTTTTAAAGTTCTCATAATGAGTTGACGAATTCTTAAAATTACGAATTGAAAAATGAACAGAAAGTGTCAAGCAACTTATAGTCAAATATCAAACAAATGTAAACATTATTATTTCAATAAGAATGTGCATGGCACTTAATTCTAAATAAACGTTCTGTTACTGCATTTTTACACGTATCGAGAATTCATCAGCCCTGCAAATTACTTTTGAACGCTTGAAACTTCGAGCGCATGCCCTAGCTCAGTGTATAACGGTTAAGTGTGAATTTGCCTGTTGTTAGTTTAATAGTGACGTACTGATGTGTGCTTTCGCAGGTAAAGTCAATGAGTTACAGTACATGTTAAATATTTATCCAATAGCGCATAAAAAGCGAAGAGCACACACATACACAGGAATAAAATTTTAGTAAAAAGCTAAACTTTGAACAAGGTTGGAAAGGGAGAAACGAAGAAGAAAGACAGACTAAAAGTAAAAATTGATATGTGAGAAGTGTCTTTTTAGAATTTGAAAAAAAAAACAAGTACTTGTTAAACAAAGTTGGTGATATAGCATGAGATATCGTGCAACGTAGATTGTACATTTCATAGTCGGAACGAATTTTTATTACACTTCGTAGTGCTACTGTCAAAAAAATTGTACGCGATCCTTAGAGGACGCGTTGTCGATTATTGTTAAAGTGGAAGCTTTAGAAAATGGCCGACAGTTGGACACAAAGCGTTGTTTGCCGGTAAGAAATTGTCTCGTAATTACTTTACAAAGAATTTTACTAACAGTATAAAACTAATAAAATAACAAAAGATACAGCTCTGCACGTACTAGAGTATTTTGCAATACGTCGATAAATCAAACTGTAAAAATATCAACATTTTTAAAGTTTTTACGCTTATTTTCTTTTTCTCTTTCTTTCATCAAATGTAGTTGTATTTGTTAACTTTATATACTTGGACTGTATCAAAAAATTATCGATGTGAAGGATATTATGAAAGTTTTACTTGCTACTTACTTTTACATAGATAAAAGTGAATTAAAGCTATGTGAAATTTGCAGCACATATTATTTATGTATTTTGTGTAATTTTATTGAAATAACTTATACAAAATGTTCATGAGTGCTCCCAATATTAAGTTAAACTTGTTAATGGTAAAATGATGTTGATATTGATGTAATGTTTTGATTTATTTTCTTTGTAGATATTTCAAAAATGGTATGTGCCGCGAAGGAAGTAATTGTAGATACCGCCATTGGAATGATGGAAATAACGAAACGTCTTCTTCTGCCTCATCAACAAATAATGTTTGCCGCTTTTTTAAACATGGTATCTGTAAATTTGGAAATCAATGTTATTTTCGCCATAGTACCGAGACTATTGATAATAATCTGGTAAATGGAAATTCAATAGAAAATTCAACTGAACATGCTTCAAATATTTCAACTTCGACAGCAATAAAGAATGTGTAAGAACGATCTTATTTCAGCAAGATACATTGCAATGTGGTATATAAAAATGCATGAGACAGATAATAAATTAATTAGGATAATAGAAGATATGTAATGTAATAGAATGCGTTTATATATTTCCAGTAAAGACAATACTCGTATTGCCGAAGAATGGGTGAAAGCACCGGAATTTGTACCTTCACAAGTAGCTGGATCATCTTCTACAAATGAAGCTTCTACAACCTCAGGGACATCTACAAGTTCTTCGATGTCAATATCTTATGCTCAAGCTGTAAATCCATCAGGTCAAGCATCCAGTCCATCTTTAGAACCTTTATGTCCATTTGCAGAAGCGACTGGAATTTGCAAAAAACGAAATTGTACATATCTGCATGGAGATATTTGTGAATTGTGTAATCGTGCTGCACTTCATCCATACAATGAAGAACTTAGAAAAAAACATACAAACGTAATTATGCAGGATTATTATATTATATTATTTAAATAATGTATTCGATTATATATTACATAGAATTATTCATTATTAATATTAATGTTTCAGGCATGTGTCAAACAGCATGAAGTGGACATGGAGCTTTCATTTGCTATTCAGCGCAGTAGAGAAAAGTCTTGTGGTGTTTGTTTTGAAGTTATAATGGAAAAAGCATCTGGAGAGCAAAGATTCGGAATTTTACCAAATTGTAATCATTGTTTTTGTCTAAGTTGTATTAGGAAATGGAGACAAGCTAAACAGTTTGATAATAAAATTATAAGAGCTTGTCCAGAATGCCGTGCTACTTCTGACTTTGTATGTCCAAGTATGTACTGGGTAGATACTAAAGAAGAAAAAGAGAAATTAATAAGTGACTACAAATGTGCGTTAAGGTAGGATAAAACATGCATAATTATAATATTTAGTTACATTATATTGCTTATTTATTACAGCACCAAAGATTGTAAGTATTTCAATAAAGGACGCGGAAAATGTCCATTCGGCAATAAGTGTTTTTATCTACATGCACTTCCTGATGGTACTAAAACAGATGTTGGTCCTCCTGTTCGTCAACGACGTAATGCAGATGCAGATGTCGATATTTTACGTGTAAGTTGAAATTTTTATTGTGATTCGTATCATAGATTTTAAAAAATATTATTTAGGTTTTTACTTGGTAACATTGTGGTGAAAAATGTCTCAAAAGTTCAAAATTTTTTACAGCAACTTATTTTGTGGGACTTTTTTGAGGAAAGAAACAGCCGTTGGATATATGACGTAGATCTCGAAGATATTGTTTCCCTTTTCTCAAGCTCAGAAGAGTCTGATTGGTCTGAATTTGAATTTCCGATTGAGTAGTTGTATTAATTCACTAATTTGCTACTGTTGCTGTTAAACTGTATCATCTATCTCATCGACCATTAATATGTGGTTTCAATGGCTGAATAGACAAGTAGTTTATGAATTGTTTGAATAGTTATGATTTAAAGATATCTCAGCTGCGTTAAAAATTTGTGTGCTTTGCTTGATGACATTTACGTGAGAAATATGTAAATAATATCAAGTTAATAATAATAACAAAAACAATAACAAGACAGTTACAGTCGCATGTACAATGGCAAGTTTTTAAATGTTACATAGCCACTTTGTGATCGCTTTTGTTTGTCTATCTTGACCAATATTACAATTAATACTCAGTCATAAGAAATATGCATCAAGTCTATTGCATCAGTGGTCCAAATTAATTCGATTAAAAGAGTATACAGCAATTTGCCAGCATGAAAATAAAAATTTTATTTTTATTCTTGTCAATTTGGCTCAAATAGATTCTTTTAATAAAAAAAAAAAAAAAAATGTCACACACAACACACATATAAGAATAAGTTTATACATTTAAAAAAATTTCTATTAAAAAATCAATTTTCATTATTTTCTCGAGTAGAATTACTGTTTTAAATGAAATTATTTTCGTACTATTATTTTCATTATTAATATTTGGCTCAAAACTTAATGTTTGCTTAAAAATTCAATAAAATAAAAAATACAGACTTATCTTTTTTATAACATAGCTTTTATAGCTTAGAATTAATTTTAATTTTGTTTGGGTACTTATACCAAAAAAAGTTAGATTCGATTTTTATTACATTTATTTGTTATTCAATTTGAAAACTAAAGAATTTGTAGAATATGAAATTTTGGTTTATAAATTAAGGAGATAGTAAATTGTATAAACTATTGATTACAATATTCAATAAGTATTGTCTATTTGATTACCAATTATTCATATTGAAGATACAATTAACAAGTTTCATCCTACCTCCTGTTATGGCTCTGCGAACATTTAACAAATTCCCTTAAATTATTGAGCTGTATAGTGTTAGTTTCTAATTCATAGTTTTAAGACCGTGATAAACTGCGCAAATCGAGTGTTCTATGTAATAAATGTATGTCTGGGCGAATGAAGATTTGGTTGAATGTGTGTACTGCTAAATATAATAAAAGAAAATCACTTTTAGCGAGTATGCACAAACAGATTCCAGATTTAGAAAAGATAACAAATAAAAATTATTTTATGAACAATAATTGAATTCAGAACTATTTAGAATCTTTATTTTATCTTTATATTCTATTGTTTGTAGTTTATTTAGATGCTTTTCTAAAAATTACATTTTTTTAATGAACAATTACTCAAAAAGATACATTATTTTGTATTAACAAATGAAGGCAATCAGAATTTTATAAGCAAAACTAAAGGCCAAAGAATATGGTATTAGTTCTTTCTTCTGATCAAGCTATTTTATAAAAATAATTTTTTAAAAAATTGTTCTATAAAAATTGTTACGTGTAACGGAATTGTTTTGAAATATTTTGCGCATATAAATTCCAATTGTTATTCGCATGTAGTTATAGGATACACGTTTCTTCATCAAAATCGTCTGTCCTCAGTGTTGCCTTTAAAGAACAAGATAATTACTCTATTCGTCAGTATGAGCAAATATTATTCGAAGTTTTCTCAGACAATCTTTCCACGATAAAATATGCAAGTTGTTCATATTTTCTATAGAATTTCTATATTGTTAATTTTATAGTAAATTGTTACAATTAAATGTTTATTGTTATTGCTAACGCTATTTATAAAAATATTCTAAATATTTTGTACATTATTTTTTTTATAGATAGCATCTATCTTATACTTTTATTTTATGTTTCATTTATATTCATTTATTATAATATTAATACACTTAATGTAAATTATCGCAATTGAAAATAATTAGCACTTAAAAATAATTAGAATATTACATAATTTTCGCATGTTATATGTATTTATTTTTTCTTAATATTTCATCATTAACTGGTGGATGTTCAACAATTGACATACATGCGTTAACAATAAGAATAACAATAGTACTATTTGTCAACACTGAGTGTGACCGTTTGTAAATTTTGTTTTTTTTTTTTCAATAATACGATCAATATGTCTCATATAATATTATGTAAAAAAAAAAAAGCGACATATATAGTGCCAATGGGTTTAATTGTAAGCTAAATATTAATTTATTTTACGAAGTGCAATTGTAAAACAGATTATAATATTTCGTTCATATAATAAGTTACACGTACGTATATTTGCAATTGCACTGCTCGAGTGTATGAAATTAGAATTTTTATATAGTTTGCGTGATAATATGAGACATAAATTTTTAAAATCAAGTTACTTAATCGGTATTATATCTTAGATGTAATTGACATTTGTCTAACTTTTATTTCTTACCATGTCGACGAATTTATTGGATAAGATTTTAATCGTTACACAAGTCAAATTTTAATTTTCCTTCTGTTACATCTCATTCTTTTAAATGTATATCTCTTGTTCTAAAAAAAAAATACACATTACGTAGACAAATACTTTTTTTCAATTTATTGATAAAGTTTATAATTCTTTGTAAATTGAATGTAAATGCTTTTTTAAAAATATTTAATGTTTTATAGTTTATTCAAACATACAAATAATATATGTTGCAATTCTAGAAATTTATACATGAATTGTGAATTGTTAATTTGGAATATTAATTTTTATTATAAATTCATATATAAAAATCAAAATTCTTAAATTTGGAAATATTGTTTATTTACAAACATTTTTCATAGAATATTACTGTTTTAAAAATAAAACATAGTTTCATTATAAAAAGATGTAACGCTTGTTTTTTTGTAAAACAACATTAAAGATAAAGACAAAGTTAAATTAATCAATCATTTATTCTTAACAAATATATTTTTATTTTAGACAATTTAATTATTTAACGAACAATGGAAATTAAATGAAGTGTGCGAATTATTCATTTCTGTTGAAAAATTGTAAAATTTATATAACTTAAATATTATTATTGAATATACTGTACTATATGTAGGCTCGAATTGTTTAATATAAAACTGAAAATAATATGATTAGAGTAAGTAAAATGTACTAGATATATCTTATGAAACTAAATATAATTTCGTTACGTTTATATGTTATCTTTCAATAAATACAAAAACATCAAAATACATTATTTGAGTCGGTTTTAAGTTGAATAAGTTCAAAATAATGAAATCTATAATTTTTTTTTTTTTTTATTTCAGGATGGTTTTCTATTTTAAATTGTGCAAATGCTTATTAATAGAATTATTTTTACGAAAATATAATAACTATAACATATTTTTTATAATAATTACTTAATTTAAAGATTTTATACTTCAAATTAAGTAATTTGAAATTATCATTCATGTGATATGGATTATCATTTTGACAATCCTATATTTTTTGTTCTGATATTTTAAATTTCTTACATTATTGCGATTATATTTAGTAAATGTTCTATAAAATTAATTATACAAAAATTTATTTGTATTTTACATTACGAATCTAAGTAATCGATTTAACAAAATGTGATTAGTGTTTAGTATATTCTGCATTTTTCTTTTCTTTTTTTCTTTTTTTTTTTTTTTTTTTT